CGGCTAATGAATTGCTGGCATTGGAATTCTAAAAAATAATATCTAAAACATCCTTTACCGCAATACTGTGTTTAAAATTTACCACTCGTTGTATAATTCCAATGCATGCGAAGAGGGATAAGCTACTGAGTTTGGCCACCTCAATACGAATTTATAAGTTTAAGTGTTCTCGTAAAGATAGTTACATAGATGGAACGACTCGGAAAGACGACTGTCACCTTCTTGAGCATTGTCATCAAACGTGATTAGGTAAAAGAGTGGTGAAGTCGATCAGGAGTTCCATATTATTGGCACACCTTTCTTGGATACGGAGCACAAGATGGATAAAAATTCAGCCTTTACAATTCTCTATACAAGATGCCGTCTTAATTCCCTAAGTTTAAACGCCTTCGATTACTGAGCATAGCTGAAGTAGTTGCCAGAAAGAATTCTTATTTGTACTGCCAACTGCATACCGTGGTAGGTTTGCAAGTTTTAATATTAGTTTCACAATTTATCATTATCTTTCTAGTTACATTCTCTTCGATAATATTTCATTCTCATGATCCGTATTAATTTTCAAATGTCTAAAGAGTGATGAGAATTTATAGAAAACACGTATTTGCCTGATTAAATGGTTTTCTGATAACTTTTTCTTACTTGATTCCTTCTTCGGACTACTCCCTCATATACATATAAATCAGTTTATAAAAATATTCAGTCCTTAATGTGAAGTAATTAGTAAACTTGTAGGTCAAGACACTTAACCCTTCTGCCAAAATTCTTAAGTGTTAGTTTGAACAAGTTTGATCACAGATTGATATCAGTTAGACAACCATTGACAACCAGCTAGAAGTGCTGAACAGCTATCCCGTCCTTGTTCGCAGCTCATCGGAAGTACGCACCCACCGCCAGGGGTCGAATCCAGGGCATTCCAGTTACAAGGCGAACTCGCAGAACATTAGGCAATTGGGATCCAAATCAATGACCAGCTCATGAATTCAGACTTCAACCAATTCGTGACTTTAAAGCGACCATCAGCCAATATCATGAACGGTGAATATATTTTTCCTCACTCTCGACTGGGTGGACTCTATTCACTGGTCACTGCATCTCACTAGAACTCCAGGCAACGTCATTGTGTATCCAGGCACTAGTGAGTATCAGATTAATTTTCAGAAGCTGGTCGTTGTGCTCGGCTCACGAATTGGTAGGAGTTGGAATTCACATGCCATTGAGTCGGGCTCCAATTGGCTGAATCACCTTCGAACTTGACTTGTAACCGTATCCTACTAGCTTCGAACTCCAGTGGATGCTTGCTGCCGATGAGTCTTAAAGTGGAATGAAACAGCACTCAAGTACCCCCTGATTTTTAATGGTTCTCCGGCTGATATTAATCCGTGGTCAAACTTGAGTACAGTTAAAATACAGTACTGTTAAAGCATAGATGAGAACAGCCGATGAGTCTCAACCAAGAGTGAAACAACTGTCTATACCCTTCTAATTTATATTTATTCATTAAGAAACAACGCCTGTAGCAATACATTACTTGCTTCAAGCTATAGACAAGTGCATATTTACTGCACTTTAGGCGAAAATTTGGAGAAATCACTGCCTAAAAATATTCTTTTGTTTTACTTTCGGTAACTTCTTTTATTTGAACTCAAGTGACTGTGTATAAGGCTTTTATACATTTCCCGTATTCTAGGTGTAAAACAGAACATCTACAGCACGACACGGTGTTTGCTCATCATTGATTGAAGTTCCTTATTCAATAACTAAGAGTGTAAGTCTTAGGGTTTCCAGGGGAACTAATTAAAGGTTGTAAAGAGATTTTAGTTATCATTATACCTAGATGCTGATTAAATACGTTAGAAGTAATTGCGTGTATATAGACTTCAGTGCCTATCAATGTTTCCGATCCTATTTGTGGTGGACTGGATTATGCAGCAAATCGTACGTAGGGAGCGAGACGACAAGAGCCCGTTGGACTGATGAGAAGACTCTAGAGGATCTGGGTTTCACCGATAATTTATGACTAATGTCAAGCAGAATCGAAGACCTTAAGGGGCGAAAACCAACAAATTGCTAAAAAAGGCCAGGCAGAAAAGATGGGACTTCAAGTTAACAGTTGAGGAGACGGAGGTGGTGATGAGGATAACCAAATCAATAGCAACAACTTGTACCAATCACTATCAACAGAGGAAATTTGAGAGAGGTCATTTCCTACACTTATCTAGACTGCATCATTTCAACTACAGGTGACAACCTGGTTGAGGATATCAGAACTAGAATCGGAAAGGCAAGTTAGATCTTCATCACCCTCAAATCAATTTGGAAATCTTCAGTCAGCATGAATAACAGAATTCGGATTTCCAACACCAACGCCGACTACATCAGTCTTTCTATATGGGTCAGAAACTTGCACTGTGTGCCACAGAAAACGTTTCCAACATGCAGCTGCACACTTTTATTAACAGCTGTCTTCGCTCGCTCCATACTGAAGATCAAATGGTCAACCAGAAAGAGTTAGGGACAGGAAATTCTGGGAACTAACCAATAAATAATCATTTGCCAAATAAATGTGCTGAAGGAAAGAGAGGCGGACGGACGCATGCAGAGGAAGTAGTCGAATGACATCTCGCGCCAAGTCAACCCTCAAACGGGACCAGAATAGGAAACGATGAGTTGGGTTCGTCTCCGAGGTTGACATGGGTGAGGAGGACATGTGAGTTTATGTGCGATCATTTAGCCAGCTAAAGAGGAATGCTGTGAACAGGACAGAATAAAGACGCTCTGCTGAAGGCCAATTTTCCATTTGAAACCCGACAGAATAATAGAATAATAATAAAGATTACAGATTTGCTGTTGACAGCTAAGAAGTATAAAAATGCTTAGAGAAACACACTCAAACAGAAACTGAAACATTTTCCTGAGAAGATTGCCTACTGTGAATAGTCTTTTGAATCAAACATTTATTTCTTTAGTTGACCGAATAATTTCAGGTGAGCAAACTGCTGAATGAACCTAATAAAACCGACTATTCAATAAGCAATTTTTCTTTAGATTAACTAGATTATACCTTGAGGAAAACCAAAAACATTTACAACGAAAAGGGTACCAAGTTATGTATAGTGATACCATGCGTTGTTTTAACCTACAATCGTACCTAGTATTACCTACTTGTGACGTTCCGAAGTTACAGACTTTTCCATTTGAATCATAACAGTCCACACTCCCCAGATTATCATAAGAAGTATCCGCTCACTTGCTAGACTTCGTATGATCATAAGTAAATTCAAGTATCTATTGATTAATCTGATAACATCATCTCTCTTTTCGGTGGCGCAGAGGTAGAATGTTCGTCAACCATGCTTCATGTGGTCCGCGGTTTGATCCTCCGCTACTGACGCACTCCTTTTCCTCTCTAAGCCAGTAATAAGAATGGTAAAGGAGGAAGGTTGGGCATGAGGCTAGCAACCCCATCCAGTAAAAAATAAATACCATTGCTACCTAGACTTGAAAGCTTTAACTTGAAGCCCTATGTTCCACTGGGAACGTAAAGGAATAAAATAATAATAATCTCCCTTAAAATTGGAGCTGACGGACACATTTCTTTTAAGTGACTCTCAATTTACGTAAGCCTTCGTCTCCACCATTTATCACTTCTACTGATAAATAATCCCAGACAATTCATGTCCAGTAGATACTTTATCTATAACTCAAAATAAACTTCTTCAGACGTCACTCAAGCATGTGATGATATCTCCTCGTCTAATGATTTTTGAAGTCCACCGGTTAAAAACTATCAAATTTCAGAATTATCTCATCCACGTATTCTTTTAAATCAAAGACTTCTGAGACGTTTTTTACCGTTTTATATGACTAGGCAAATTGAGAAAGAATGTGGCTTTATCGTTTTTCTTTCATTTAATTAAATATCGTCATAACGCTAAATGAGGTGCTCAGTGTGCTGAAACGTATGATGTTATATGCTAATAAGCGGTTAATACTACTGATTTTACACAGAAAGAACCGCTGTACACTACATATTTAAGCTTTACATACTTAGCAATAAAATGCCGATAGAACGTTCAATAATATGGTGCATGTAGTCTGGCAACTATTGGTTTATACCAACATATGCTTTGGTGTGAAAACATATGAGACCTACTCCCTTAGTCCATAACTTACCCATTATATGACTGAATTTTTAGCTTTTGAATATCGTAAGGCTGAAAATTATTTTTTAGACCAACCTGGACAAAAATTTCACCGAAACCACATTTCTGTTTTCCTATGAAGATTTATCATTTTAAGACATTTTGAGTTAGTACGATTATAAAAGTTTGATTTTTATGCATCTCCATATAATTTAGTGGTTTCTGTTCTACACATGGTTCCAATCATACAACTTTGATTTCACTGACTTCGTGCATTTCCATGGCATTAAAATGAAGTGTAAGCGTCGGTGACATAGCGGTAGACTGCTCGTCAACGACGCCATATGTTGTCTGGGGGTTCGATCCCGAACCGACAAAGTACTCCTTCACTTCGCTAAGCTAGTAATAAGACTGGTTAGGAAGGAAGGTTGTGAATGAGGCCAGAGACCCCAACCCGTAAAAGTGGACACCACTGCTACTGAAACTTCAAGCCTCTAGCTTTAAACCCTATATTACACTGGGAACGTAAAGGATTTGAAAAATTGAAGTGTACGTCATGCGTGACTGTTAGTATTTCTATGCTATGCTAAGTGCACCTAGCTTCCTGTTAAAATTCCAGTAAATTCAAACGATGTCAAAAAAGCTGGGAAAAGAATCTGAGTAAAGAAGCAAAGGCGTATTCATTTTCACCTCCACCAACCAGACATAAAACATTTATCAAAAAATTATCTCATCCGTATCAAAGAAGTCAAAGTTTTCCATTTAAAACAAAGTATGTATACAGTATCTCAGAATCCATAGAAATGTATCATCATGATTAAAATTTTAGTGAATGAAGCATTCTAATAAATCACTTACCTTAAAGTAAAATCCGAGACATCATCGAAATGTTTCAAACGTACAGTAACAAAAAAGTCCTCATTGGTTTTTAATTCCCTTCTAGGAATCTGCAACAAAAGGCTTCTTCCTAAATCACGAATAGCATCAGGTACTGAGTGGGCAATGTTTACTGGCGGAATGGGAATAAATGAAGTCTTCAATTTATTGAATGATAAATGGCAGAGTTGTGAACTGTCAAGAGATGCATCTTGTCTTTTAGCATCATCCGACAATGAAAATAATCCAGATGCTGTATATGCTAAAGTAAGTTCTGGTGACTTTTTCTGCTTCCATAGAGCAGGAGGAAGCTTGATGGATGCACGACATATCCAGTTCTCTTTTTTGTGATCAATAACTAGAACACAAGATGTCAATTCACTGAAGTATGTTGCATTAATCGAAATAATACAACAAACACTCCTAGGCTCGGACTCCAAATCCCGAATTTCGCCATAGTAGCTTGCATGACATAAAAAATGTAATGTTTTTGTTTCTTCACTTATTTCAGAGTCAAAAGTGTGAGCAGTAACATGTAATTTAGAATTTTCGAGTAATTTGTCACCCAAAATAGTCAATGAATTGTGAAATAAACCTATAGAGGCATCCACTTCATATTTATCCAGGTTGCTGGCAGATGCAAAATACACCGGTGAATCATATCTGGTACTTCTATTATCGCTGATAAGGAAGGCAGATTCTTTCTGCCCGAACGTTATATCAATTAGGTCATCGGTATAGGCTATTAATACAAAGAATATTTTACAAATGTATAGCTTACCTCTTACAAAACAAAGTAATGAATGAAGATAAATGCTAAAATATATAATCATTCTCTGAGATAATTAACATTCCTATAAATCTTAAGAGCGATAACAACATTGATATTTAGAAAACAGCGCTCTAAAAAGTTCAAGTCACATGTCGTAGTATAACAAATGCGTCTGATTCGTGTTAATACGCATTTACAGATGCATGCATAGCATTCATATAACTAGTGCGTGTTATTTTTTACCTTTTACGTTTCAGTAACGGCTTCAATCACACATAGTGAGCTTAAAAAAGTGAGAATGTTTTCACGGAAGGGACGAGGAAATGAAAATACATACAATAATGATCTAATTATTCCGAATAATAATTCTTATTACAAGGGTTTGACTCTTCATACAAATAGAAACACAAAAAATCGTCTAATCAACTGAAATTAGTAAAAAATATGATGTAGATAATAGTAATACATATGAGTGCACATTGGAAGTTTGTAGTTATTTAATTACAGATTATAGAGTAGCTTTTCTGGGTCTTTTGTCGTATTTCTTTCTTCACACCTAATCCGCACTAAGTAGGGTATTGCTAAGTTCTTTTATCTAAAGCCACGAGAATAGCTTTTGAGTCTTTTGCAATTCTCTGTTTGCTCACAAAGTTAGTTCATTTACATAACCACAAGAAATCTCCAAGCGCTTGGCATTCTAGCTATTATGATTTATTCAGTGAAACATTTGCGCCATATATCTGCGCAACTTTTAGTAGCTAATCAACTAAAGAGTAAAACTCTTTGTCAAACAGTTTGCTTCACCCTTAACCATAAACCTAATCCATACGAGCTTATCTATTCACAAAGTCCTTGTAATAAAAAGGGGACTGAAACATAAACTAAGTCAGGCATAAAATATCTTGGAATAGTTCTGTCCTCTGATCTTTCATGGTCTATCATCGCATATCTTCTTTATTCCTAAGAAAGTGTTCCTTGTAACCTACTACATTAAGAATTTAAGACAATCACGAACAGCTGAACCCCTAATTTTAGTTTGTCAACTCTTGCATCTTACCTTTTACACTTTACTACTCCCACTAAGTGTTTCCTGGGCCACTCAAAAAGGACCGCATCAAACTGTAAAGGGTAATAAAGGTTGTCAGTAGAGCAAGTAGTGTGCCACAACGTCAACTCGCCGCTACTGTAGCCGACAAACACCTGAGCTCATTTGACGAAAGATCTAAGCCTGACTCTCAACACATTCTTCATTGATGACACTCCCTGCTTTCCATCTCAACAGACAGGACTGGAACTCACTATAAAATATTATTTGCTCTCTCTGACAACAAAGTACAAAACTCAACGATGACCTATTTTGGTTCGCCCACATTCTGTGTGGTAGAGATAGTGTTCGTCGCGAAACTTACAACATACTCTGTAATTGCCGAAATGGATGGCTCTTTTATTCTCCCCTATTTGTCGTTTATGGTAACACTTTTTCAATTATCCTATAGTTTTGGCTATTAACATAACTATAACAGTTTTACACATAGGTACAACTTTCAATTTATTGTCGTTACTAGTAACAGAAATATGCAATAATGAATTCTGGTTACTCCGTAACATGGATTTTTGTTTTTGCTGTCGTCGGGTAAATTAGATGTAACGGTGTGCCAAATGCTGAGAATTCCATACTACATCGTAGGTACTGCTTTGGAATAAAGCAGATTGCTACTACTATTTAAGCTACCGAAATTTTGCTTGTGGTAGACTTAAATTGCCACCGTTCCTTTCGATAGCAGAACCAATTGGGAGGGTCATCTAAGGGATTAGTTAATGTAATGCATCAGGAAATACGGAAGTATTGTCTTCGCAATTATCCTCGTTACGGATGTTTTCGCTTTTGCAGGGTTAGTGCGGTAGGTTCGCGCTCACTATGTGATGCGCTTTAGAAACTAGTAATGAGTTCCTTTTGTCTGTGTAGTCATTAGAATGCAATAGTTCCTTCGGAGAGCGTATGAACCGCATAATGGAGTTACAGATTCTGATTTCTAAGGTCAATCTGATTCATATCTCGGAACACACAATTGTGAAAACGTTTGTGCAGAGTAATGTTTTGAAGGTAGTTGCTGTTACTGTGCATGTTTGGTTTCGCGGAACGTAGCAGCCTTCCGGTTTGAAGTGATCGTCCTTACTGTCTTAGGGTATATATTGAAGAAGAATATTCGACCCAATGGTCTCCTCATCTTGTGTCCGATCCACCCCCATCTTCTTCAGCACATTCGTTGAGCAATAAGTGTTTGGTTGGTCTGCGCCCAGAATTTCTTGTTCCTAATACCTCCTGGTTTGCGATCTGATCTTCAATACGGAGCAAGTGAAGACGGCCGTTGAATAAAGTCCGTAGTGGTGTGGTGGGAATGCTTTTCATGAGGAGCAGTGTAAGTTTCTGATCCATATTGAGGGACCGACTCACCTTATATAGGTGTCAAAAAACCAAACCTTTTTCTCTACGCTACAGAGCATGGATGATCTCCGAACCGATTTGAAGGTGATTATTGCCCGTCTTTCCTTCCCTATTCTGGTTTTGACATCCTCATCCGTAGGCATGTAGATAAAACAATGCCTCCTACATAAGTGAAAGAAGTGATCTCTTTCAAATTTCTTGCAATGATCGTGACCGGTGATTACTGTTGTTGGTTGGTTATTTCAATCACCTGTTTACTTCAAATTCTGCTTTCAGAGCCTCTTTCGCCAGCTTGTTGGTTTTCGCCTGAAAGTCCTCAAATTTATGGGTTATTGAATACAGGTAGTCGTAGAAGTCCAGATATTCTAGAGTCTTCTTATATGTCAGGCGAAATAATGTCGTATCTCTCCAAACAGTCTTAGTCATTACCCATGTTGGCGTATGTGAACTTGGCGTTACTTTCTTATTTTAGTGTGGGAAGAGAAGGAAGTTTCATCTTGTCAGCAGAGAGTATACCGAAATATGGGATTATGGGCTTAAGATTATTAGCCACAAATATCTTGTTAAATAACGCAAATTTTTTGCACGTTTATCGTGTAATTTATTCTTGATGATGGGAAGAGGAACAATGTGGATTGCGCGTTTCAAACGCTTCCTTGAGATCTCTGTGAGAGCATATGTTGTCGTGAGGCTGGCTAGTGTGGTGCCTTCTTCATCCCTCGTGTCCTTATGTAGTGCAGCTAAGAGAGTTAGGGATCAAATCTGGTGCACCAAAGTGATGAAATCTGAAATATCTTGCCACGGTTTTTCACTTTCGTGTGATCATTTCGAAATAATAGATAGTGTTTTAGATTCGGAAACTCTTAGTGTTTGCAGTGGGACTGCTGCATCTAAACATCTGTTTTAGTTCTCGTGAGATACACTTGATGCTTTTGAGCGGTTATCATTGGTGAGATATGCTTCTAATTCCGGGCATCTTAGCACAGCTTTTATGAAAGCTTAGTCTGCCTTATAGTGGATTCAATATGTATTGAACAGTAGAAATAGGAATGGATTATGGAGATATACAGTCACAAAACAACGCCACAACTGAGCTCTTATCCCTTGATTATTATAGCAGACACCATGCTTTTCAGTTTGCACTGATAAACAAATTGACCATTGACAACGAAATGACTGAGGTTCAGTCGACTTGACAAACTTCTTTGATCCTGTGAAGGGACTTATTTAGAACAACATCACGACGAGGAATGGATTTAATTCCGGATCACTATCTGGTTGGTGGAACCTTCAAGATCAAGTTTACAACCCCCAAAGAAACCTGATATACCACGATTTAAGTTCAGTAGTAAGAAACTGGAGGGCCAAGCTACAAATGCCACCTTCATAGAAGTCGCAAAAGAAAAGGCTGAAGCATTAAGCGATATCATCGAGGGCATCTAAGTGGGGAACACTGCACTTCTGAAGTCAACAGTGGGAGAGATCCTGAAGAGGAATATTCGGTGAGATGTTAGAGGACAAAGAACGCCCAGGTACGGATATTTGGAGACACGTAGAGAAGACAGATGATGAGACAGAAGATGAGTAATAGAAGGAGGAGTTGATTACAACCTACGGCTCACTGAAGTTCGCACATTATTTTTCTCATATCGCGCAAACTAGAAAATTTGCAATCGAAAATGAAAAAGTTGGTGGAATAAGGAGTCACGAGATAACTGCAGGTGATGGATGAACTCAACCAAAGGCAACAGACACCATTCTCTGTCAACGGGAGAAGCCTTGGAACAATCGTCCTTTTCGCCCAATTTAGTATGGATATCTCAGCTACAGGAGAGTTCCGCGGTTGCAGAAAGCAACAGAAGTGTCCATTACTATCATATTATTTTGGAGACTCACGATACTGTGCACAAGTAACAAGTTACTTTACCAATGACTCCTTAGAGGAAGTCCTTAAAAACTTCTATGACAATATACAGTCGGTTAATGATGTCATAGCGCCTGTGAAACTGATTAAATTCAAAATTCCTCAAGGTGATTTTATTCCAATATCATTAAGAAGAAGTATGCGGAAGCATTCATTAAGTTACTACAGACATCACGACTTATCGTCGTTAATAGCTATCAAAACAATCCTCATTAGAATCCATGAGTTTAAAAATCTAAGTCTAAGAAATAAAGAGACGCGGGCAATTCAGTCGCCACATAACACTGGAGAAATAGCCAAACTCTTCAAAAGTAGGTTAACTAACTCCAAATCAACATATCCAAAAATAATACACCTAGGTGGCATTACTCACGAAAGTGATGAGGATATATGTGAGGTGTTCAGCACGCACTTTGCCAAATTGTACACTCTAGAAAACGACCAGGATATAGATTTCCCTCGTAAAACAGAAAAGTGTCTAAGCGATGTAGTCTTTAACGCCGAAGAAATCGATAAAGCTACCACAACTCTTAAGCTTACTAATACTCCCGGCCCAGATGGAATGTCTTCTGTCCTCTTAAAAAAGGGTGGAAATGACATGAATCTACTTCTTCTCAAGATATTTTCAACTTCGATAAGGAGTGGAACATATCCAAATAGCTGGAAGAAATCTTACGTTGTACCCATTCAC